AAAAAAAAAAAAAAAAATGTTACAATCAGATTTTAAAATCTTGACTTTTCCAGGCAAATGATCCAATAGTAGGCTACTTATAAACTTTAATGTGCATTAGATAACTAGTGCTATGTAAAAAATTTTTTCGTTTTGAAGAAGTGAAGGTATAAGTAAAAATCTTTATAATAAGTCTTACTGGAATTTATAGGGAAGTGCATTTGAGCATACTTATTGTCATTCTTTTCTTATTAGCAGTTTTATGACTTGGCCATCTCTGAAGACCATATATTGCCATCATGTAATTACATACCGCAAGTACATCAGCAGATAAAGTTGTAGGAGGCATTGTAACAAATGTTTTTACTCAGTTTTGATCTAATAGATAACTATAATTGATAATTTCATAAAAATAACAGACCATTTTTAAATTGAATTTCATGTTTTTAAATAAGTTGCTCATACTCAATTTCATGTTTTTTTTAACTAGGTCCTCATCACCAACGGTAATCAAAGAATTTACCTAAAAAAGTTAACATGCTCCTTGCTTAGTTTATAGCACTGCTAGAAAACCCTGACACAGACGGTAAAACATACAAATCTCATTATCTGTGAAAGTCAATTTCTTATTAAGATTTTACTTCATGAATTTTTTTTTTTTTAAAGAGATGGAGTCTTGCTCTGTCGACTGGGATGGAGTGCAGTGGGGATATCATAGCTCACTGCACACTTGGACACCTGGGCTCAAGTGATCCTCCCACCTCAGCTGGGACTGCAGACGTATGCCACCATGTCCAGTTATGCTTTGAAACAGATCCTAGACTCAAAGCTAAAGGTAGTAATATGATGCCTGCCTCAAATAGAAAAGCTCCTTTCTGTAGTTGTCTTTGCTAAGGGAAAAAAAAAAATAGAAAAGCTCTGTTTACAAGATGGAACTTTAAAAGAATTTTAGACAAAAAAGATTAAGGGAATAAACTCTTCCCATCTATACAAACATGGAGGGGGGAAAAACAAAATACATGTTTTTTAAAGTCAGCAAATAACATTTTTTTTTAGTTCAGTTAGGCCAGCTGTGGTGGCTCATGCCTATACTCTCGGCACTTTGACAGGACAAGGCAGGAGGATAGCTTGAGGCCAGGAGTTCAAGACCAGCCTGGGCAACATAGCAAGACCCTCCCTGCCTCTACCAAAAAAAAAAAAAATTAGCCTGGCGTGGTGGTACACAACTGTAGTCCTAGCTACTTGGGAGGCTGAGGCAAGAGAATCACTTGGGTCTAGGAGTTGGAGGCTGCAGTGAGCTATGATGTCACCACTGCATTACAGCCAGGACAGCAGGGCAAGACCCTGTCTTCAAACAAAAAATTTTCAAAATTAAAAAAAAAATGAGGCCGGGCACGGTGGCTCACACCTGTAATCCTAACACTCTGGGAGGCCGAGGCGGGAGGATCACGCAAGGTCAGGAGTTCGAGACCAGCCTGAGTAAGAGTGAGACCTCGTCTCTACTAAAAAAAAAAAAATAGAAAGAAATGATCTGGACAACTAAAAATATATACATATAGAAAAAATTAGCCGGGCATAATGGCACATGCCTGTAGTCCCAGGTACTTGGGAGGCTGAGGCAGAAGGATTGTCTGAGCCCAGGAGTTTGAGGTTGCTGTGAGCTAGGCTGATGCCACGGCACTCACTCTAGCCCGGGCAACAAAGCGAGAC